CTACTTTTTTACATTACAGACTCTTTGATAGTAGGGTGGGAGGCAGGAAGAGAGTGTATTTATTTCCAGCTGCTGTCCCACCCAGTTTCTGAATGCAAGATTTGAATGACAGCTTTGGAGGAGGAAGGAATAACACATTTGTCAAACTCTCAGGTAAACTTTGGGTAACAATTACAGAAATTTCTGAATATTAATATGAAAAAGTGCCTCAGTTTTGACCTGGAAGGATTTAGTATACTGTTGAGACAATTGCCCAGTATGCCTATTCCTTGAGGACTTGATCTTGCTAACCAAACTTCTAGTTAGTGATAACTGTGGGGAGGAGAACAGTAATCATAATCCCAACCTTCTGAGAGTTTTGATGCTGAGATAGATGCAATGTTAACAATGTATTGACATAATTTTTATACCATGAAGAATATTATCACTGCACAGAGGTTGGGAATTGAAGACCCACTTTTCTAAATGACGTGAATTATCCCACACATTTAAAATGCTTCACTGTTCTCTCTGCTGCTTCAGTTTTCTCTTTTAATGTGCCTCCTGGGATACATGACTGTTCTGATGGCTTATGGAGAAGTGTCACCATCTGCAGTGGGTCAGCTTCAAGAACTGGGCAGATTAGGTCTTCCAGCTCTGTGAAGTTCACAAAAACCCATGTGCGGGTCTGCATCCATCCTTTCATTTTTCAGAAGCTACCCAGAAGCTGTTGTTAAGCAGCAATTTCAGCTTGCTTGGTGGTTCATAATGTGTTATTATTAAAAAAAAAAAAAGGTTATTGTTGATGCTGAAGCAAAACCTAAAATAATCTCATCTTTTTTCAAAGATCTGTCTATGGAATTCTAAAGATCAGAATGCAAGGATGCATAAGGCATGCTTTCAAAACACTGAATGTAGGAATTAATAAAAAAAATCTTATTTCCCTGTTCCATTTCATGTAGCTATGACTTTTGAAAAGTTTAAGAAAAATGCAACTCTTAAATTAAGGGACTGGAGCATCTCTCACATGAGGAAAGGCTGGGAAAGCTGGGATTGTTCAGCCTGGAGAAGGCTCGGGGAGGGGAGTTCATCAGTGTATACAAATACCTGAAGGGAGGGTGCAAAGAAAACAGGGCTAGACACTTCTTAGTAGTGCCCAGTGACAGGACCAGAGGCAATGGCCACAAAGTGAAACACAGGAGGAAACATTTATTTACTGTGAGGGTGACAGTACCGGAACCCCAAGACATTGTGGAGTTTCCATCCTTGGAGATACTCAAAACCCAACTGGGCATGGTCCTGGACAACCAACCATATAGGTAGCCCTGCTTGAGTAGGGTTGGTTAGGACCAGCTGACCTCCAGAGGTACCTGCCAACCTCAACCATTCTGTGATTCTGTGATGCAGTGACTTCAGCTGGAATGTAGAGACGCGTACTACAGAACAATACAATTGGTAGTCAGAAGTATGAAAGAATAACCATGCCAAATATCCAGATAATTCTAAAGTCTGGGTGCATGTCTCAGATTCAGTATGCAAAAGTAATTTTGTTTCCTTATTTACTATTTACTGTGACATTAAGTATGATTGCTCCATTTTTCTTTATAAAATCATTATTATTGTTTCATGGTATAATCTTTGCATGTTTAGCTACCATGTCTGAGCTGACTTCATGAAACGAATTCTTGCTTCTGTAAACTAAACATCAGGAAAAAAGTGTAGAAAAACAGAAGTGAGAAGCAGTTGTAACTGCTGACCTGAGTGTGTATCTGCAGCTTTCACTGACTGGAAGGGATAAGGTCTATTAGGAGACTTAGAGTGGACCAGAGTAGGAGGCAATCCACTATTATTGCATTACCAATTACAGAGTTACAATTGTATGTAATGTGTAGAAGTTCTGAAAAGGCAGTCCTAATTCATAATTATAACACTAGAAATTATTAATTACTAAGCCTGCCTAGACATCTGATGAGCCATCCAAATACAATCTGGGTGATCAAATATTTTGATTCCACTTCTGAATGAAAATGGTATGAAAGTTGGGAATGTTAAAGCAGGTTGATGTCAGCCCCCAGAGTACAAGTTGTAGAATCTTGATCACCCCCCTTTTCCTCCTTCTAATGAAAATGCATTCAGGTTCCATACTCCTAATCATTAATTATCTTAGCTGGGAGCAGCCTGAGGTCTCAAATGCTGCCTGTTGGATACAGCAGATGGTTTGATTAGCAGGCTTGACCGTACAGGTACAAAAGAATCCTATGAGATGCTCAGGAATAGCAATGGAACAATCAGTGACTTGAGTTGGGATGCCCTCAGAAACTCACAGAAAGGTTTTCTGAAGCCAAGCCTCAGGTGGTCTGACATTTTGCTTGCTCATACCAAACACTTGTGGTAGCAACAAGATAAAAAATAGGTGCTCTAACAGCTCAGTCAGTTGTGGCTGACAGTGTCTTCACCAGTAAACTCCGTTGTTACCTTTCTTGGGTAAAGTTGCAGTCTTGACATTTGGTAGATTAGTTTCAAAATGTCCCATTTTATCAAAAAGCCTTTTTGTTACAGTCTTTCTGAGACTGTCTTATAATTGTTGGGGGGTATTTTGAAAAACAAATACTACTTATCACAGACTCCTAAACCTTTATTGCAACCATAAAAGTTGCAATAGGTAACATTACAGGCAGCTTGAAAAGTGAGATCAAGAATTAGGAAGAAGGAGGCATGTTATTGAAAATGACATATTAAGAGAAAGAGATTGAGTTGGGGGAGAAAAAAAGTAAAGCATCATGAAAACCGGTAAAAGTTATCTTGAAAGAAAAGACTGACTTCAAGTAAGAATGAAGATGTGCTAAAGAAGCACAGTAAGTGTTTGATCTCAGTTGTTCTCATCTACTTAATGTAAATACCTTAATTTTATTTCTTCTCCATGTTCCCAAATGTAGAATCACTTTGATTAATTGTATTTGAATTATTAATTACTTCCACAGAATTTCTAAAATGGTAGGTGAAAGAAGAAAAATAACCAGGAAGTCTTTCCTCACTGATTTGTACACTAAAAATATTGATGTCTGCTACTACTGAAAACTCTTTCTACCTATATATTTCATTTAAAGCCCTTCATGAAGTAACCTTTAATAACATACCATTCAATATTCACAGGCCAACATTCAAGTTGCTCCACTGGAACACTCAATTCTTTTCATGGTATTAAAGCTAATTAATAATTTCATACTATATTTAATTTCATCACTGCAAAGGAAATCTAAAGCTAATCAAGAAAAACAGGTAAAAATTCAAGCCATTTAAACTAGCAGGGTTAAAGTTGGCTACAAGCCTGTAATTCACTAGAGAGACCCCGATGATGTTCCAACCCCAAAAGCTTTTAGCTCAGGCACAGGAACCAAATTTTGGTGCCATTCTTTATATGGAATTTATTAGACTATTTCTAAATAATAAATCTGCATAAATAATGTATTTGGAACAAGAAAGGGAGTAAGCTATTTGTTAAAGAAATTATAAAAAATGTTTGTTGACTGACTGGAAGGAGAGAGCCGCAATTTTGACTTAGCTGTGAATGAAGATGCTTCCCATTAGCAGAGCAAGGACAAATATTTATCTTCTTTTTTGAGGTGAAAATTATTTCTATCTTTATCTATTTTTAAAGCTCCTGGGTTTGTGCTTCTACTCTGTGACTACACAGAAATCAGAGAAATCAGTAATTTCTCTCACTATTTTATTTCCTACTTATTTTCCCCCTAATCTCTCTGCATGATACACTGATTTCCTGCCTTGTGTGCTGTAACTTTACCTTCTGCTTTGTCTTTTTCTTCCCATGTTCTTCTTTTAGCTTTCTCTAGAAGAATCCTTTATATTTTCTTTACTTTCTTTATACTGCTTTTCAAGGGTCAGGTCTTGCTTTGGAATGACTTTGCTAACACCACTCTCTGTCTTCCATTCCTCTGTGCTCACAAGAACTGCTTTTTCATTTATGGTGTATATTAAGCAAAAGACCATAGTTTATTCATTTCTCGTTTTTACATATACGTGCACTACTGATTAAGTAGTCCCACCCTGGCAAATATATAAAAAAAATATAAAATAAAATAAAATAAAATAAAATAAAATAAAATAAAATAAAATAAAATAAATCATGTTTCAGAAAGCACAGAAATAAAATTATGCCTTTTTCCCATTTGAATCCTCCTTCATGATGTCACATCATATATTCTGTAACAAAGACTGACAAACCTTCTGAGAGGATTTTATAATATGTGTGATCTCAGACCACCACAAGTAATCTACCTATGCTATTGTGCACTAGGGTATCATTAGAAACAGCATTCTTTGTGAACTGGAAATTTGATTGAGCCCAGTAGATGGAAATCCCTCAGGCACCTTCAGTCAGTAAGAAGTTGGAGAGGGTGTAAATTTGTCTGAAGGTAGAAGACTCCATATCCCTTGAGCCATTGCACAGTCGTCATTTTCTTAATTTTTTATTCTCCCCTCTTGAGATAATTCTAGAGAGAGTATAACAGCTCAAGAAAATCACTGAGGAGTTATTACATCTTCAACAAGCTACAAGGCAGAGGGATAATACATCTTCTACAGTCTGTCTTTATGAACTGTTCTGATAGCAAACCTTTGCTCTCCAGCGCAAAGTATTCCCATAAGATGCGTTTTATAGTGGGTGGTTTGAGTTGGAGATGGGCATATGTACCCCCATATAGTCTTAGTTATCCCAGAAGAGTCTATGGCCTGACGGCTGCAGCTGGAGAGGAATGGATTTGATGGCCTAGAGAGTCCCTTTCTGTTCCTAGATTTCCAAGTTCCTAATTTTTTCTGTATATGGGAGAATATACTCAAACACTATATTAGCTGAGATAAAAAGCAATTATGTCTGTAAGTAGTTACAGATACATCAAACACGTTCTTTCTTCCTTGTGATATTCCCTCTCCTGTTAACCAGCCCAAGCATGGGAGGAAATGCTCACCCCCCAAGGACAAAAATGTTGCCTCTAATGTCTCACCTGGCCGATGGGCCTTTGGAACTGCCATGTTCATCACTCGCCCTCCATCCTGAGGTTTGGGGGGGGACGCAGTAAACCGGCAAATCCCCGACTCTGACGGCGTGCTTGAGGTCAGACTGTCTGTGTAGTCATTAGTCCCTGCCGTGAGCTGCTCTGATGACGTGTCTGATATGAAGCATTCCGTGATGGTGAACTTGGCGTGTCTGAGCTGCTCTTCCATTTTTGCATGCTCATATGCTCTTGCTAGCTCTTCGTATGTTGAGGAGGCACTTTCTGTGGAGACCATGCTGCTTCTTGCTCGATCTAGACATCAGAAATAGAAATAACGGGAGAAAGAAAACAATCTGCGCAATTCTTTCTGGAAGAAAAGCTATGAACGTGATAGTGTTTTTAATAAAATGCAGAGCCCTTGGCATTATCAAGGTGATTGAAATCAGTTTGCTTCACCAAAAATGTCTGCTCAATTTTTAGTTTAGTCAATTACTCGATTATTACAGATAATCTAAAGTGAAGTCTTGTTCTGCTAGCAGCATGACGTGGCTTGGCATTAAGTTTATGGTTTAGAATACATAATCTCTAATACATTAAAAAGTTAATTTTTTTTCTTTAACAAAAAAACCCATTTCTCTAAAAGTTAAATGTCTTCAAAATGTAAGAAACCCACAAACCAGATTTAGCAAATGAGGAACTGTTTCTTTATATCATCGCGTTAATGCATCTCAGAACTGTTTCTGTGAGGTGATGTCTAGGTGAGAAAGGACAGTCTCTCTGTACCTATTTCAGTGTTTTATCTTCTTTTTGAGAAAGCCTGAGGACAAAGGCAGCGTCTCTCAGATATTGTCTCTCTAGACACCAGGTAAAATACTAAATTGTTTCATATGGAACAAAGATCTTAAGAAAGCAATATTGTTTGGTAGCTACCAGCCTGCAGTCATTCATGTGCTTTTTTCAATGCTGCTGAAGCTGATGGGGGCTTCATATTTGACACAGAGGCTATTATGACCTACAAGCTTTTCTTTTCTGCTGATGCTTTTCTGAGGATATCAATATTTCTTAAATAAGCACTGTTATTGAAGATGTAAATGGCTACTGATACATTAAAACGCATTCTGGAAATGCACCGCTCACTTCTGCGGGGACAAATCACTGTCGTTGTACGAATCGCACTTCTACCTCAGCGGGCTGGGAGAGCAGGGGGCTTTCAAAAGTTCCTTGCACAGAAGTCATGTTTCATCACAAGATCTGTGCAATTTCAGACATTGTTGATGATGTTCAATAAACAGGCACAATGTAATAGCTAATTCATAAAAATGGGACTCCTATAGCAGCCAGAGGCAACTGTGTTGTTATTGCAAATCTTTTATCTTTTTTATTGTGTGCTAGGATCCTTGCATCAGTTTTCATTGTGCACGGAGAATAACACTCCTGCCACTTGTAAATGGGACCATGCATTATTTAAAATGTCAAGTACTTCTACAATATGCTGTAATTTGCTTAAGATTTTGAGCTCACCAGAACACAACAAAACAAACAAACAACTGGTATTTTGGTTTGGTTTGTTTGTTTCCCACAGGAAACATAATTCTGTTTGTCACATTTGACTTTTAAATCAGACCAAAATAATGTCTTTCCAAATTTCTAACAAACTGGAAACTCCTGGAAGGCTGCAGCTGCCCAGTGACACAGAGCAGTGTCTGAAAATATGATGGTCATGCAAAGGTCCTAGTTTGGTTCATGAAGCTCAGGACCTCCAGCTTCTCACATCCCATGCCCTGGGGAGACTATTCAAGGAAGAATCTGCTTGAGCACCAACTTTTATATTTTATGAAAGTTCGTCCAAGCCCAGGGTGAACTTCATGAAACCTAGATTCATAAAATTTCCAATGGCCTATCGTTAGAACATTTAAACTTATTTACAGCTCTGAACCTCTGCAATACAATTCTCTAAAGCTTAAAAGCTACTGCTTTGCAATTTTTTGGATAAGAAGCCAGATTCTGCCAAATATCAACTGCATCAACTAGATTCAGCAAGCTGAACTCCATATTGGAAAAGGGATCAAATGAGCACTTTAGTTCAATTGATTCTTGAACACGTAATTTGGCTACTTCTATTGTGTTTATTTGGAAATGTTAAACTTCTGAAGTACTTAGGTTAAACAGACTTGATTCTTTTCCCAGAAGACAAGTGGCATAACAGAGCTACATTTTGGCACAAGAAACCTTTCTTGAGCATGATCTAAAACTTGCTATCCCTTACATAAATCACTGTGTGTTCCAGGGTAAACAGAGTAGGAAAGTAGCCATGTTGAAACATAGATTATGAAGTGTGGTTACAAAATTACATGTAGTTTGCCTATTAAACCAGACAGCAAATTGAATTCTCTGCCCTTTGCTACACTCACTGGACTATATCCTTGAGTGACAAAATGTTGGAACACATGCAAGTGTACCTGCATTCTGGAATGTCTGCAAGAAGGGATTGTGACAACACATTTGCTATTCACATTTGTGCCTGTATAATAATTAGTATTAATTGATAAAGCCTTATGATAATTCTACCTGAAGAATCAGGACAAAGTTTTTCAGATGGCTAGAGGTATCTATTGAGTGCCATTACCCTACAACATAGGGGTCTGCAAGTTTAATGGGATGAATTGTGAAAAAATGAGAACTCCAACCTATAAATTACTGGATGTAAGGGAAGTCAGATGCTTGTTCTTATACAGAGAATAAAAACAATCATACTGGTATTCATGGTGAAAGGCCAGTCACATCTACTGCTTTCTAGTCCTAACACACAGCTTTTCCAATGACAAACACTTTTCCCCTTAAAACCAGGTAGAAAGTAGGCAATTCCTTCTGAGGAGGCCAGAGCAAGCCTGGATTCACTCCTGACAGGCACACCTTTGAACAGTATTTTACTTTCTTCATAGTTAACCTTTATTAGATTTGCTTCATGACTATTCTGCTTAATCATTTACTCATTTATTTGCCTTTTATTTTTGTCAGTGTAGGGCAGAGGAGAAAGCTTTTTTTTTTTTTTACCCCCCGAGTTACAATTGCATTTATAATGTGAAGACATGAAGAAAAGAAGGCTGCAGGCAGGATATACATTCAGTGTCTCCCCACTTATCACCTAGAGGAATAAAACCTACGCTGTTTCTCAGGAAAATCAGAACTAGCTGCTGCAGTATTCAGTGATATGAATGGATTTTGACTTCGACTCTAATTCCAGATTTTTCCCTCTCATTTTTTCCACCTAGAATAAACCCTATGAATATATTACATAAATGGGAAAAGAAAAATACTAACCTCATTATAGCTCAAACATTAAAACAGTTCCACATAATGACTCAGGCTTAATCTTGGTTGCTACTACTGCCCCTTCCTGGTCAATGCCACTTCATGCAGCAAATTACCCTACTTTTTCCTTCAGATACAGGAAGTAAAGTGCTTCAGCTACAGGAAAAATGACCACCATATCTTTCAAAGGACTCCAGTATATGTGTGTGGCATGAGAAACCATGGGCACAATATTTATTGTCATTAGCATGATATGCATTTGTGTCACCCCTTATAAACAGCCTACAGAAAACCACCCTAGCAAGGCAAAAACAATGATAACTAAGTACCAAATGAAGTACATTAAGGGCCAAGAAGGTTGCTGCAACCACTGCTGTCCCGTGCTCACACCGCAGCCCTGCAGAGATCCCCATACCTGTGTCCTGTGAGGGGCTGACGCTGTAGCTGTCGCTTTCCTTGTCCACCGATCCCGCTGGCCTGGGGGTGGGCAGCCTCCAGTCTGTAGTGAGGGTATGAGCTGATATGGTGGGGTGGGGTCTGTTGAGGGTCCACTGACTAGCATAGCGGTTGCGAGCTGTGGGTCCGGTTTTGGCACTCCTCCTTGTGGTAGGATCTGTGATGGATAATAGAGAAGAGCTTTGCCACAAGGCTCTTGAATTGAAACAAACCCTGTCAGAAGGGGATGGCCACTGTAATCATGTTGGTTAAAAAAACCAAACCAACAAACCAAAACCACAAAACGTTCTTCGGGGGAAAAAACATGAGCAGTGTAAGTGCTGTTCATTACCAAACTGCTAAAGTATTTTTGAAATACACTTTCTCACAAAACCATACATTTTAAAAAGAGTGCAACTGGAAAGCTGAGAGACCCACCGGTTTCCCACTGACACATTCATTATCCCTTTACTCCAACACAAGCAGTTGTCCAGTACCAAAACCACTCTGAGATGTGAAAGAGCACAAGGCAAGATCATCTGGTTAGGGATTTCACACCGCATCTCAAGCAAAGTCCAAGGTAAATTATCAGCGTAGATGTGCCCTCCGAAACACCCTACAGCAGGTACCTGCTCTCAGCTTGTAAAAGAATGTGCTCAGAAAGGTGGCGATATAATTTCTTAAGCTGGATATTTTACTAATACTTTTACTATATTAAGGTGTTAATCAGTAACAGATTTCCTATTTTTTTAAAAGAGTAGCCAAGACATAAAACATAACCTGTAAGAGTGCCATCAGTGTTTGAGTAGGATCAGGTTCAGACAGGGGTGACTGTTTTAAAAATAATCAATACATAAATGCAATTTCCTAAAGTTTAAAAATAATCTGCTACTTGTTTAAGACCAGCAATGTCTTATTTTTTATTGTCCTAGAGATAATAGGTGACCAAGGGAGTAAAAGCAAACTATCTGCCAAAACTGACCTCCTTAATTTTGTTAATAAATAGTTTTTCTATAAAAGTGAGTCTTGAATTCCCTAACAAAGCAAGTCGAATAAAAAAATCATGATGTGGCACACAGAAAATTACTAAATCAGCACTGAAGGATTTCTCTTCGAAGCTTCTGAAAGGATGTTACTGACAATAGAGAGAAAGGGTATTAGAAATGAAAAATTCAGGTCTATTCAAATGTTCTTTGACATTGAAATGGTGAAGTTGACAGTCTTTGAGGTAAGCGACTTTAGCAGAAGCAGGTTTTTCTCTAAAAAAAAAAACCAAAACCCACAATACCCGGATAATGACTCTGAGCATTGCTTCTGCCTAAGCATTCCCAGTAAGAATTTATATTCTGCTGCTTCAAAGAAACAAAGTATTTATTTACAAGTACAATACAAGAAACAAGTATTTATTTATAGCTGGCTATGGGCTGATCCTTCTCCCCCCTACAGCAGTGGAAAAATATGAACCCGGTGCTATTGATAATTGATCCTCCTCGTAGTGCAGCACGTAGCCACCTCACATGGGTAACATCCAAAACTGTACTTGGCACGCCGTGACCATCCTGTCAGTGTAAATCGTGACTTGTACCAGCTGTGGGAAGTTGGCAAGTGGCTGTCGGGCAGCCAGAAGCGAGCCTGCTTCGCGGGAAGATGGGGAGGACAGGAGAGTGCTGGTGGGAAAACTCTCATCATGGTGCTGTGGCTGCTTGGTTTAGAGAAAAGAAGGATTGATTGGGGGGATCTCATCAACGTGTATAAATACCTGAAAGGAAGGTGCAAAAAGGACAGAGCCAGGCTCTTTTCGGCAGCGCCCAGTGACAGGATCAGAGGCAACGGGCACAAGGTGAAACATGGGAGCTTCCCTCTGCACATCAGGGAACACTTTTACTGCTAGAGTGGCTAAGCAATGGCACAGGATGCACAGAGAGGTGGTGGGGTCTCCATCCTTGGACATATCAAAAACTGACTGGGTATGGCCCTGGTCAACTGAGTCTAGCTGGCCTTGTGTTAAGCAGAGGGGTCAGACTAGCCAGTGCCCAGAGGTCCCTTCCAACCTCAACTTTCTCTGATCCTGTGACTCAGCAGGCTTTCCTCAGCAATTTGAGGAGGTGAGAGAGCCTGCTGCCAGCGCACAGGGGGTCGGTGCTAATCCTGCTGAGCAGTGGCTGTACACAGCTGTGCTGCGCCTGCACACGGCAGTCCGTAGCACGGATGCAGCAAGTTCCAGAGCTGCCCATGTGATGGAAAACAACGCACATCTGGTGCCCCGGTTAAGTCAGCTCTGCTATCATATGCTGAAACATAACTGTGGAGAGTTGAGGTGAGCAACGCAAAGGCTCACGGAGCATACCTCCTTTATAAATAAATACAAAAGAACTAGAGAACAACTTAAAAAACTGCTGTAAGGGAATATTCACCAATCAGTGTGAGTGTGCTGAGAAGTGAGGATCCAGAACCTCTGAAGCACCCAGCTGGGCACTGCTTCCCTCTTCACAGAGTAAGCTGTGGGCGTAGACAAAATTTCATAGCCCAGCCTCTATCAAAGTGATATTAGTGTCTTAAATCCAGGGAACATGGCCCGAAAGTCTTTTACCCAGCCCTGTGCACTGCTGCAATCAGGTCTTTACTGCATAATAAAAATGATGGTGTATTTCTATTTCCAAAGCTGGGCTGGACACAGATAATACTCTTACACATGAGTAAAATCCAATTTTAATTTGAAGGAAGTCTCTCCTTGACTTCAGTAAAATGTAGCACATAACTGTACACAAAAATGGGATTACATATGGAAGGTGCTGATGCTATAAAATATCATGGTGTGATACAGGCAGGCAGTTTTGGGGTGGTGCCTCTTTCCTTATAAGAAAAGGCAGGGTTGGAAAACAATGGAGAGTCCATTGTTTACTCAGATGATCCTGATCTGCCAACAAGATAAAAATCATATGATGATATTTTTGTTCTTAGAGAGCAGGCTAGCTAGCATGTACATGAACTGAAGGAGACAAGAGTAGCACCAGAAAGAAAACAAGTATCTTATCCTGATTGTTTTAATTCAAATGCCATGATTCTCCATAGACAAAAAATGGTGGTACTAATCCAGTCCTCAAGAAATAACTAAACATACCTTAAAATCGTCAGAGCTAGAAAAGCAGCAAGGTCGAGAACTAGAAAGCTATTATTTATATTGTCTGGGCTGGAAATGGAGGTGAAAGGAAGATTTTTCAAATAACCTTCATTCTAGCAACTGAGCTTTCAGCATTTATGTTCACTGAACTCACCAAGTAAACAAATTCTGAAATAGTCAGGGGATACAAATAATCCAAGAGATTTTAGAAATTGCTCACTGCTGGTGAACTACACTTTGGTAATACTCCTAATTCATAAGTATTCCTTTGATCTAGTGACTTGCTTTTCAATTTACATAGATATAGAACACATTCATGAGAGAAATTAAGAAGAATGGATTACAGCAGTATATTAATTTATGATAGTATTTTAATCACTATAAGAATAACTCAGGATGAATATATCTGGGAAAAGTAATTTACCATAATAAATAAAACTGGAAAAACAACTTTTTCAGAAAAGCAACAATGAAAAATGTATTTCTTGCCTGATGGAAAGGTAAGGAGGGAAGATGTATTTTGAAATACAATAAAGATTGATCAATGAGAAAAAAATATATTAGACCCTAAAAGCCATTAAGCTAATTTACTCAATAAATTCTAGAAATTAAAATCTAGCATGCATTTGGTTTAATGAAAGCCAGGTATGAATTATTTCAAATTACACCCACATTTCAGATGCATATGCAATTTTTACCATATTGAATCACTAAATGCAATTGTATAAGAAATATTCTCTGCTGACCTAAATAGATTTCTCTCAACTTTCAGACTGAAGAAAAAACCCCTTCAGGATGCAAATGCAGTATTCATTTTCTTATAGCTTTCTCCCCTCCAGATATTGTATTCTCTTATATGCTTACTTGTTCCTGGCCGGGCATCGGAAACATCTACCAGTGGTCCTGTAGCTTGTGACACGGACTGGTAATGTACGGTGTGGGTGACAGTCAGTGACTTCTGCTTAGATGTCTCCCCAAAGTCAGCATCAGTGAGCAGAACTGTAGATCTGTCATCTGTAAGTAAAAAATCCCATGAGATAATGAGTAACGAGTTTTGGGTTTGCCTTCATATGAGCTTTGCAGTAAGTCCACAGCCATATTTTCAGCCGGGCACCACCACTGACAGTGGCAGCTCCCTCTTCTCTGCAGGACTGAAGGAGCCTCTGGGTTTAACCTCACACTTCATACAAAACTAAAGAATAAGTGTAATTTTCATGTCTGTCTTTGTGATTTCACCTTAGAGATGTCCAGCTGAGACGGACTATTAAGCATATTTCCAAAAAGCTAATTTGTGTGTAATTAGCTTTGGCCCTAATTCCTTCTTTCCCCCTTTTTGAACACTGCCCTCTTCCCCTTCGTTTTCAGAGAGCTCAGCTGAGCTTTTCAACAACACATTCAATTTATTTCTCTTGATTAACATACTTGATAATACCCTGAGTGAAATCACCCATGCCTTCCTAAAGGGAGGTCACTAGTTAATGTTGCTAACTAACCCTCTACAGTCAGCTTTTTCTCCAAAGACAGAACATTGCAGAAAGGATGGCCATGACCCAAGACTCTTCTTAGGTTGCTGCTTATTTTTAAGTGCTCAGGTACCATACTGAAGACGATGGAAATATACTTGCAGGGCAGCTAAGCATCCGTAAGTCCAGCATTTTGCTGTTCTGGAACCTAAAGACTAAGTCCTATCAGCTCCTTCTGCATCAAACCTTACTTCTCTAGGACTGAAAGAAAAAGGTCATCACCGACCTTTACTGCTGTACGGTTCTGCTGCCTATTGCTTCCCTGTGGGGTAGGATATATTCACCAAATTTCTACACAGACCTTCATCCTGCCAGAAAGCCAGTGCTAGGCAGCACTTACCTTTTCTTTTCTTCTTTTTTTTTTTTTTTTTCTCCCCAGTTATGATCTCTGTATTCTATATTCTTTTGCTCCAAAGGGGAATCTGGTCCACTTCATCATGGAAGGTTTAAGAGTAATAAATCTTGACATTGTGCTTGCAGAACAACTGTTTGCATGTTATCAGGTTTTCTTTTGCATTCCTTAGTCTTTTTATCCATTTATAATAACAATAAAAGCCACAAGAATTTCCTGCTATGCTATCTAGCTTTGTAATGTATTTCTAAGGGGACTGGCAGCAGTGGGGCTTCCGTGCATTTATTAAGCAGCAGAGGTTGATCCACTTCATCTAAGCATTCCTGGTTTTTGATTTTTTTTTTTTTTTTAACTTGACAAGACACTATGAAGGCAAACAGTTCTGCACAATAACATAACTAGCATTTTTTACCCAAAGAAGGCCATAAATAGAATGAGCATTATGAAATCAAATTACTCTGTCTCTGGCAAAAGACGAGCTCTTATTCAGGTTGGGAATAAAGCCTCTTGGCAGTAAACTGTGTCAAAGACTGCCAAAGTGCCTGCTTATTCTAAGAGCTTTGTGGAGAGCTGGCTATTACCAAGGCACTGATTGTAGTGCTACAGTTAAGGCACTAAGGGTGTTTCCACCAAAACCCCCTATGGCTTAGCAACAGAAACTCAAAAGTGAAAACTGTCTTCAGGATGAAGCCTGTCACAAAAGGCTGCATCACAGTGGCAAACTTTGGGAAGCTCAGATCAGGATTTAAAACCGTCTGTATTTCAGGTGAAGCATAGATCTCCTTTTCAAATGTCCTCTGAGGCCACCCTCTGGTGCCAGACCGATAGCAAGTGTGACAGGGCTGGGGGCTAAAGCAGCCTCCTCAGTGTGGGCATAGACAGGAGATGCAGAGATGCTGCTCCCAACTTGTGGAGCTTTCCTCTCCAGCCACACTGTCCCTGGGATATTGTTGTGTTCACAGCCGTCACAGACTTCTACACAGATTTTTATCGAAAAAGTTGGAAGTCTAACAAGACCAGTCATTCTGGAAGGTCTTAAACACAGTGTGTACCCATACAGTCACAAGATCAGGTTGTATTTTTATCCTGTTGAGATTTCAGACATCTTGTGTTTAAATTATTTGGGAAAAAAACCCAATGCCAAACAATTCTGTTTTTCATGACACTTTAGTTATGTGCCAGCCACATGAGAAATCTTGTTTTCTGTTGTGCGCAACAGTTTAGCCTTGAACTTTGCATAGATTCAAAAAGCTGAAAAGTGATAAAAATATTGAAATATCATGTCCTATGAACAAATATGCAATGTGTAAGTTTTAGAAGTTGGCTGTTGCAAATCTTTAAATACTGATACTGTAGTTTCAGAATTTCATTTTCCTTATAAGTAATGCCAGTGATCCAACTGTCTAGTCAAAGCCAAAAGAGAAATCAAAATGAAAATCATAAAACTGCCAGTCTTCATTTACATGTTCTTTAAGAGGCTCTTTCCACCAGCTTCATTTTCCTAATGTCCTGCAATATTTTAAATACTGTATGGAGATTACTTAAAGTGGAAAATTATTCAAAGGGGAGAAAAAAAAAGTTTTCAAATGTTGCAAATTACTTTGTAGCTTTTTTATCTTAATGTGTGTAGTGGGGAAAAATTGTGGGGTCAAGGGATTCTGCTTAAAGTGCCTGTTACATTAAGCAGTGAAAAAAGGCCCATCAAGAGTTTACCAATGGTCTCCATTGTGTCCCTCTCCTCAATCAGAAGCTGTGCTCTGGGAATGTCTATGTGCATCCTCAGTGTTTGCTGCTGCTTATTAAGTGTATCTGACGTCCTGGTGTTCTTGCTAAAAACAAAAGAAAAATGAGCATGTTAACATTCAGCCTGAATGAGAAGATACTTACAGATTTCCTCATTTTAAATCTTTCTGGCACAAGCAAACAAACAAACAAAATTAGAACCATAATCAGTAAAATACTCATACATCTTATTTTCTTCTCTTTGGAGAAGTGCTTGGCATTAGTTTATTGCACATGACAAACAGTTAGATGAATGCACAGTGTTGACAGATTTGGTCTATTCTTTATAAGTAGGGATCTCCTGAAAATTTCATGTAGTTTTCTTCAAGTGTTGTCATGTAATAAAATTAGTAAAAACACTTCACAAGATGGACCTTTTCTTTCATTCCTCATGAACATGAGTAAAGAAACATACGGCTGATCAAGCAGGTTGGAAGGAAAATGAGTCTTGAGAAATTTCTAATTTTTTTTTCACTTTTTATTATTTGTCATTAGATAAGTTCAAAATATGACTAGAATTGATAAATGAAAAGCAAATTAATAACTACTGATTCCATTAATAAATGGCATAAAACAAAAAAAGGTTTTAGTCCTATTCTTATTCCCAAACTAAAATTTCTTCGCATTAGTTTTAATTGATTGATGCAGTATTCTAAAAGTGAACGTAAAACATTTATTCTGTCATCATGCAAATTGAAACAATTTCATTTTGAAGTTTGTGTACCAGAAAATGACTTCTTAAATGAGCTGTCTACCAAAAGCAAATGAAAATGGATAGTAAAACTGAGTGCTACAATCATTTCTAGTACAGAGTTTGCACCAAGAAACCTTCAAACTGCACTAAAAACCCAGGAACTTTTTGCCCTTTTAAATGTAATTACTCTTTGGAGGAGAGGAAATATTTGCAAATATCCTTCTTTATGCAAGGAGGCTGAGGAAAGTTAAGACAAATAGCCAGTAGTGTGTTCCAAATGCTCACATTTCAAAGAGTTTAAAAATCCAAGTGGAGGCTCATTTTCTAGTGTAAAATAACTGTAGATCACTCAGTTTAATTCTTCTTTGGCAATGAATTATTGTTGTTAATGGAATCAGCAGAAGACTATTAAGCTGTCTGATGATAAGTTCACTTCTTCCCTGAGTGCGGGCCTATACATAGGAGATTAATGCATGTGTGATAAGCCCACATCTCTAGACAATTCGCCTTAACTGTCTGCTGTGTCTCCATATAAGCAAGACCTAACTCTTGCAGTTTCGGAGGTTCTCTGAGAGCCCTTTTTAGGAGGAATTTCCTTGCCATGTGGTCAGTACTTCTGCTCCAAATCCAAGAGTGAGATCCTTAAGGGACGCAGGTACACCTCTCCAGCTGATTCTCACCTGGCCTTCCCTGTTCTTTTGGTCCCCAGCATTAACACCATCTATGCATTTCAAACTTTAATGTCTCTGTTTTCACCTTGGTGGTCAGGTGGTACTGTTGCCATCATGTATGGATGGTGAGCTGAAATACATTCAAACAGTCTACAACTGGTGCCTCATTAATCATTATGAAGGGCCTGTAGTGACAGGACAAGGGGTAACAGGTTTAAATTGGAAGTGAGGAGATTTAGGTTAGATATCATTAAAAATTCTTCCCGGAGAGGGTGGTGAATCACAGGAACAGGTTGCCCAAAGAAGCTGTGGATGCCCCGTCCCTGGAAGTGTTCAAGGCCAGGCTGGATGAGGCTTTGAGCAACCTGGTCTAGTGGAAGGTGTCCCTGCCCATGGCAGGGGGGTTGGAACTAGATGGTTGTTAAGGTCCCTTCCAACCCAAACCATTCCATGATTCTATGATTATGGAAGCAAAATATCAGGAAAGCTACCCAAGGGTTGCCAGACTTTTATCCACACATAATCAGTGGAGAATAGTAGTCACAGTGTTTTAATAAGCACATAAATTTTCAAAGACATTTAGGTTGTTAAAACACATATATATTCCACGCCAATGTTCTTGAGGTCTCTGCAAAGCCTCTGAATGGATTAGATGCCACTCTCCTATTGGTTTCCACTTGAACTATGGAAATGTTAAGAGAATCAGAGACTACTATATTATTGGCATGCCAAATATGCTTGTACATGCTGTTGAAAAGTTGGTCTACCTAGGGCTTGTCCAAGATCATAGAGCAAACCTGTGATCAGGTAACAAACTGAATTTCTGAGGTCCAATTTCAACTAATAATCAATAATACAACAGTTAGAGGATACATGCAATCAGATACATATAGAATCTGTGCAATACATAACTTGAGTCTAATAAATGCAGCATTGCATCCCTTTTCTGCTCACCAGGGACACAGAAGACAAAGGAGTCAAAGGGATCTCTTCCTCAGAGAATGCAGACCTCAGAATCCCAATAAGAGCTAGCAGCGCTTGTGCAGTACAAACACTCTGTATCCCTATTACTTCAGAGTACTCAACTGCACAGAAAATATTGTTGGGAACACAGGGAACAGGAGGACAGTTCCCCAGGTTTGCAGTTATATTACTGACCTGCCAAGAGAAAATTCTGAGTCCCACTCATGAATAGCTTTATGCAATGTAGGTGGAGGTCCTTCAGGACAGAACTGGAACCCAGGCCCCTCAATATACAGGAAAATTCCCTACTGTCATGGTTTAACTCCAGCT